CAGTACTGTCTGATAAACGCTGTAGGGGTTATCATTTTTGGCAAGCCACAATGCAAAGCATCATGCCACCTCTATGTGTACAATCCTTGCCCCACCTTTGCAGCTTAAAGGCTGGCAGTTGAGGCAATAAAAATGCATCTCGACTTCCTTATTTTACCACCCCTGTCTCCAAGTATAACTAAGCCTTTCTGTTACATATCCAGGATAGGGAAATCCCTCCAGAACTCATACCCTATAGGGCCACCAAGTTTGCTGCAGAGTTCCTTAACCCCCTTAAGATCCTCCACCCTCTACCGTGACACCCAAGGTCCTGAAGAGCAGAGTGTTCCCAACTTTTAAGTGCCCCCCAAACCCCTCCAGAACTCATCCCCTATGGGGCCACCAAGCTTGCTGCAGAGTTCCCTAATGCCCTTCATAACCTCCACACTGACACCCAGCATCCCGAAGAGCAGGGCCTCCATCACTCCATAATGCCTCCAACAGTGTCCCACAGTTCCCCCCCAACCCATTTCAGAACTCATCCCCTAAATGGCCACCAACTGGCTCCCGATTGCCCAATGCATTAAATTCAAACTACTAACACAGACATACAAAGCCATTCATAATGCTGCCCCAAACTACCTCACCGACCTGATACCCAAATACCACCCAACCCGTAATCTTTGCTCCTCACAAGACCTCCTACTTTATAGCTCCCTGGTCTCCACTTCCCTCGCCCGACTGCAGGACTTCTCCAGGACTTCCCCCATCCTCTGGAACTCACTACCCCAATCCATCAGACTGTCACCTACCCTTCTTACCTTTAGGCACACCCTGAAAACCCATCTCTTGAGGGAAGCCTACCCCACCCTCACCTAACAGCCGATCTCCTCCACTCCTCCCACCACTCCATCCCCCACAGCCACTTCCTCCTGTACCACTATCCCCTCCCTCCTAGATTGTAAGCTGGAAAGAGCAGGGCCCCTGAATCCCTCGTGTTCTGTTTTGTTACTGTGCTGTCTCATGTACTGTCCCCCACTATGATGTACAGCGCTGAGCAAACCTTTTAGCGCTATATAAATATTGTATAATAATAATAATAACTCTGCTGTAGAATCCCCTAACCCCTCCAGAACCACCCCCCCCCCCCAGTGACATCCAGCCTCCTTAAGATCAGGGCCTCCATAGTGCCCCCTATCCTCCAACAGTGTCTCACAGTGCCCCCTATCTCCTCCACCCTTCACAGTGGCACCCAGCCTCCCAAAGAGCCGAGTCTCAATCTGTCTATGGTGCCTCCCCCTTCAGATCCTCCATCGTGACACCCAAGGTCCCGAAGAGCAGAGCCTCCATCCCTTCATAGTGCCCCTAAACCTCCAACAGTGTCCCATAGTGCCCCCCAACCCATTCCAGAAGTCATGCCCTATAGGGCCACCAGGGCAGAGTCCCCTAACCATCTTCAGAACCTCCACCCTTACAGTGAAACCTAGCTCCATCCAAAACCTATCAGCATTTCAGTACATGTTTTGCATTTCCATACTTTTATTGTAGGAGTATAAAGTTTGCAATCTGGGGTGGCAGGGAGTGGAGACTACCAGAAAAATTTACTACTGGAGTCTCTGAGAGAGGCTGTCGCACAATTTAACTGGTACCCCCTCAAATATTTAGTGCCTATTTAGACTTATTAATTGCATGGTTTGCTGTATTACGGTGCAATTAATTTAGCATGATTCCTTAACACAATGAGGCAACACACATGCATTGCAGCATGCCACAATGTATCACAAAGCACCATAGTATAGTGTAGCCATTCTCAACCAGGGTTCCGTGGAGCCATAGGGTTCCTCCAAGGGTGGCTAGCTGTGGCTAATTGACCTTCCATCTGATAGTGCCTGTATAATTCCAGAGCCAGTGCCACTGGACAGAGCCAGGGGTATGACTGCAAGGGTGTCGTTCTGACCACCACCATAAGAGAGGCATTCTTTCCACTTCCAACCACCAATGTAATGGACATTTTCTCAATGACCTCCAATGGACTCATCTTATTAGGGGTTCCCCGAGACCTGAAATTAATTGTCAAGGGTTCCTCTGGGGTAAATTGGTTGAGAAAAGCTGGTGTAGTACAAATTTTGTGGCACATCAGATTTTTAGGGTGTCTTATGCTCCGTACACACGATAAGAAAATCGTACAAAAAATTTTGCAGAACCACTGATCAAACGATTTTCTCTTCGTTGATGAGCAGGATGTTTTAACCGATAACAATATTGTGAACAAAAAAATCCAGTTGAACAACAGTGAAAAATGTTGTCGTTTCGCATACAAACGACCGATTTTTTTATGTGGTGGTTTGACGGTCGTCCGAAAAAAATCTACAAGCGCTGTCACACATGAGCGGGAACAGAAGATGACCTGAATGTTTATGTCCAAGGAATCTTCGTAAATACGAACGAAAAATTCAAATGTTAAAAGTAGATTGGCCTAATGAGATAATGAAACCAGAATTCTGCAGATTATATTTTATGTATCACTATTTATGTATATAGATAATGTAATAAACAATATTATACTCATTGCTGGTAATTGTTGTGTATATCGCTTGTTCTGGCCGGAAGGGCGTGGCTACAAGGTCACACGCACACTGCATCACTTCCACTTGAACGGAAGATGTCAACACTACGTATTGCCCGACGACCAATTATTTTAGATTGGGTAATGTGGGCCACGATTTCGACAAACGAACGAACGCCTCTTGGTCGTTTGCTGACTGATTGGTCGATTTTCTAATCATGTATTCCCACCTTTAGTCCATTGGCAACTCATTGGTTTCAATTGGCATTTAATTAATGCATCACATGGTAACAGAAGACACTATGCGCGTAATGCACATGCGTTAACGCACCGCAAAAACGTGACTGTGCCCTCAATATCACTTTTGGGCAGAGTTGACCTTTAGCCCCTCTCCTGCTGTGAACCTTATCCACAGAGGAGTTAGAACATTGGCTGACTATAATCAAGTTAACTCAAGCCATTTTGTAAATTGGATTATCAGAATGTGTTGCCAATTCAGCTGGAGAAAATAATAACTAAAAGGAGTGTTTGTTGCTTTCAATAATATTTGAAGTAACAGCAATGTTTACTGTCTCATTGTATTAACCTCGTTTCACATTAGTGCTGTAAAGGAAGCAGGATAATGTCAGAGGGAAGCTGAAGAAGACAAAGAATACCGGGCAGGGAGAGCCAGGAAAACGCTGGAAATAGATAAACGGAGGCCCGAAAATCTATGTTGTACTTTGTTCTTTCTAATTCGAGCCTGCGGAACCTTGATTGAATCAAAATTAAATACACAGAGATGGTATTGACATGTGAATGAATTAGTGAGAGTGCCTTATGCAAACAGCGTGCTGCTTCACTATATGGCCATCTGTACGACTCCCAACTGAATGTCATGTTATGCACTTTGCAGAATTATTCCCAGACAGCAACAACTGGCCAAACTGCAGGCAAGGTTCTTAAAGCTGTATGGCCACAACTAATGCCCACTGATCGTTCCAAACAAATGGAAGTAAGAAGAAAAAGGAAAGGGTTGGGAGTTTACAGCTCGATACAAGGATGCAGAAACAATTTCATAAAGTAGATTACAAGGCCATTAACCCCTTGACGCCGACGTCACACAAATATGCGGCCTCACGGAACCTGTCTTTGTGCTGGGAGCGTGCTGCACTGTGCGCTCCCAGCACAAAGACCGCGGTGTCACTGAGAGCACCAGGTCCCGTTCTAACGATCGGGACCCAGGACTCCCGATTCTGGGTCACATGATAGCTGTGATAGCCTCTGATTGGCTATCACAGTGATCAGTCACTGTGCAGCCCGGCCCCCTTGTTTTCTTTTCTCTCTCTATGAATGGAGAAGAGAGATACATTGTATCTCTCTAACTCCTGACATAGAGAGAAAAAAAAATGTTTGTACAAAAAAAAAAAAAAAAAAGAAAGAAATATATTAAAAAATAAAGGAAAAAATGCCTAGATCAAGGTTTGATCTAGTTCAGTGCCAGGGTTATTGTTTGGGTCAAGGTCAGGGTCAAAGGTCAGGATTTAGAAAAAAAATTGGTGTCAGTGTGTTTTAGGTAAAAAAAAAAAAAAGACAAAAACAAAATGCGCACTATTGTTTCTGGGCTGTACTACGGGTACAAACAACAAATAACATACACATATAGGATATCGCTGCGATTGTCAAGAGCTGGAGAATTTATTTTGGGTTGTTCTTTGGTGGTAGGTTATGGTAGTAACAAGAAACACACAGCTAAATAAAAAAAATTATATTGTTTTTACTATTTTGGGCCCGTTTTCCTTTGATAATAAAAAAAAAAAAGGAGATATCCATTATCATTTACCACCAAACAAAAGCCCAATTTGTTCTGAAAAACATGCGGTATAATTCACCTGGATGTACAAAGTAGTTGTGGTGATATGTACGGTTTTACTATCACATGTCAACGTTGTAAAATTGTGCCTAGGCATTTAGATTTGTTTTACCCTTAGGCGTGAAGGGGTTAAGTATTGGAAGCGTATGCTTTATATTTGGAGGATAAGGATATCACTTAGTGCTTGTTACTTGGATACTTTTTGATCCCCTACATTCAACACTTATATGCAGGTTGAGCTGAGATTTTGACCTGTCTTGCTGCATATTGGTTTCAGGTCAGCAACTTAAAACACAACTGTATCTGAGTGCCAGAAAACTAAATACACTATTCAATTCATTTTTAATATTCAAAGAAAACTTACCCATCCCTCCAAGTCTCCATGCTTTTATTTTGTTGAGAAATCACTTAAAACCTCCTCTCCTAACGTTTCTAGACACGGCCATCTTGAGTAAGGGCAGATGATTCATGTAGCATCTACTTCCTGGAATCTATCTTCCATTAGCTTAGGCATGCAGGCAGGCAGGAGGGTGTGCTTAGTGGAGAAAGTTCCCTCCTCCAAATGAAGGGGACAAAAAATGCAAGTGAAGACTCCTGGGATGTATAACATTATTTGCTACTAGGCCAGAAACCAGAAAACAACTGAAAAAATGTAAAAACTGTTTAAAACAAATAAATATAATATACTTTCATATCTATTTACTAAGGTTAGCAGCATAAGGATTAAAAATAGTTAAAGTGATTGATTTTCTTTGTTTTAAATAACAAACTGATTTATACACTCACCGGCCACTTTATTGCGTACAACTGTTCAATTGTTTAGTAACACAAATTGCTAATTAGCCAATCATAAGGCAGCAACTCAATGCATTTAGAAATCTAGATGTGGTGAAGATGACTTGCTGAAGTTGAAACTGAGCATCAGAAAGAGGAAGAAAGGGGATTTAAGTGAGTTTGAACATGGTATGGTTGTTTTCGCCAGGCGGTCTGGTATGATTATTTCAAAAACTGCTGATCTGCTGGGATTCTGACGCACAACCATCTCTAGAGTTTACAGAGAATGGTCTGAAAAAAGAGAAAATTTCTAGTGAGCGGCAGTTGTGTGGATGAAAATACCTTGTTGCTGTCAAAGGACAGAGGAGAATGGGCAGACTGGTTTGAGATGATAGAATGGTAACAGTAACTCATGTCAATATGGACCACAATCTCTGAGGAATTTTTCCAACAACTTGTTGAATCTATGTCACAAAAAATTAAGGTAGTTCTGAAGGCAAAAGGGAGTCCAACCCAGTACTAGCAAGGTGTACCTAATAATGTGGCTGGTGACTGTATTTACCTGCTCTGCACAATGGAATTGCACAGAGCGGCCCCAAAACCGCTTCTTCTTGGGTCCCCCTCCGGTGACTTCTGGGTCCTTCTCTTTTTGGTGTGCCCCCATAGCAAGCTGCTATGATCGCTGAGTGATTGACATCTACAGGAGCCAACGATAGTGCAGATGGGATGTCGCATGCGCCCCCTACCTGGAAATGCAGAATCACGTGTATATATATATGATTCTGTGCAGAGCGGCTGCCCTGTAGCAGTAAAACTAAAATAGGGTGGAGAGCCAAGTGGTTAATTTTATTTTACATTTTGTCTTGAATTCCTTCTGAAAAATAGAGTACTTAGGCACTCCTTTGCCTATATCTTTATGTGAAATGTAAGGCATTGCTGCCTCTGATTTCTAGTCTCGTTAGATCTGGTGTGAGATTTGGTGATGTCACTACTGTGCTGCTCATTGTTCCTTGCTGGAAGCTCTGACACATGGAAGGAAAGCCCTGCCTCAACAAATATGGCTGCCTGCACATAGAGACACAATGAAGAACAAGGCCTTGTAAGTCATTAGTTGGGTAATAGGAATCAGCTGCACAGACAATACTGGTAGCCAAACCTTTGCCATCTGCTTGCCTTTTCAGAAACAGGTTCTAGAATTCAGTTCATCTTTAAACTGCCAAAAGCCACCTTCTTTTAGCTTCCAATTTTGACTACAGTTCATTTCACCAAAATGGAGGAACTTCACAGAAACCTCACTATTTTTTTACAGAAATTTTAGGAATAAGAAAGCTCACAATTTTGCTCATCCATAAATGCCACAGTGCATTACCTAATATAGATACAAGTAGCCCTTTATCAGAGTTCTTCCTTACTGCATTCTCCTTTAGTTAGAGTTCAGTGCCTTGAAAAAGTATTATAGATTACCAACACAAAGTGGCACATACTTGTCTTGGTAGGTTTGCAGTTGTGCCATACTCTTTCCATTTTTGGATGATGGATTGAACAGTGCTCCATGAGATGTTCAAAGCTGGGAATATTTTTTATAAACTAACCCTGCTTTACACTTCTCTACAACTTTATCCCTGACCTGTCTGGTGTGTTCCTTAACCTTCATGATGCTGTTTGTTCACTAATGTTCACTAAAGTTCTCTAACAAACCTCTGAGGGCTTCACACAACCGCTGTATTTATACTGAGATTAAATTACACACAACTGAACTGTATTTACTAATTAGGTGATTTCTGAAGGCAATTGGTTCCACTAGATTTTAGTATCAGAGTATCAGTGTAAAAGGGGCTGAATACAAATGCATGCCACACTTTTCAGATATTTATTTGTAAAAAAATTTTGAAAACCATTTATCATTTTCCTTCCACTTCACAATTATGTGCCACTTTGTGTTGGTCTATCACATAAAATCACAATAATATACATTTATGTTTTTGGTTGTAACATGGCAAAATGTGGTAAATTTCAAGGGGTATGAGTACTTTTTCAATGCACTGTATATTTTGTATTTTTGCGTTGGCCATTAGTGCTCCTCCAATACCTTGAATGGCAATAATCACTTTATCACAATATTAGCCTGGGGCTCAGGGTGCCGTGTTGCTCCCTGCACTAGTCACTGAGATATAAGAGGGTCGATGGAGACTAATTTATCCCATTTTACACAGATTTGGAGATGAACTGTGTTATTTTATAATTCTGGCATCCCCGTTTTCCTAATGTACATTTTATGTGCCAAAATAATGAAAATAAAATGAACTAATTCCATCTCTGAGTTCACCCCAGTCGGAGAAAATTCTTCCTTTTATAACACTGTAATGATGGTCTGGATTTACAGCGTTTTGGCTGGTGGTCATGTTAGAGGATCCAGTGCATTTTATTTTAAGGGGAAATGGCACTAAAAGAAATTTTATTAATATTGCACATACTCTATATAAATGAACATTGCAATTATTTTCATTAAAAAAAACAATAAAAGACAATTCATACTTAAAAGCTATACTAAAATGTTGTGAAGCTGATTTGGGTGGCACAGTGGCTTAGTAGTTAGCACTTCTGCCTTGCAGAACTGGGTTCTCCAAGACCCTATCTGCATGGACTTTGCTTGTTCTCCCTGTGCTTTTGTGGGTTTCCTTCAGGTAATCCGGTTTCCCCCCACACTTAAAAGACACTCTGGTAGGATATTTGACTCGGGTCTAAATTGACCCTAATATGTGTGTGCATGCATGTGTAGCGGTACCCCAGGAGGAGACGCTTGGTTTGATGGGTCCTCTGTTTTGCAACAACTCCTTAAACTGCTTGGTCCATACTGACATACCTGGTTATAGATTGAAGGCTACTCACACCTGTGTAATATTACCACACCATGTCAGTATTCAGGAAATAGGCCACAGACTGCTCAGGGTTAGATAGATAAGTTATTATATTGTAATAAAGTAAGTCAAACACAAGGCATGAACCAGTAGGTCGGCAACTGAACACATTTAAAGATGTTGAGCTAAATTGGGTGTAGACTGTTCTATATTATGGGAAGTATCTATACTGCGGTAATTCTAAACCAAACTTTAACCAATGCAATTGGTTCCACTAGATTTTAGTATCAGAGTATCAATGTAAAAGGAGCTGAATACAAATGCATGCCACACTTTTCAGATATTTATTTGTAAAAAATTTTGAAAACCATTTATCATTTTCCTTCCACTTCACAATTATGTGCCACTTTGTGTTGGTCTATCGCATTAGCTAATCCCAAAACAATAAATGTCCTTGAGAGCATACTGCACATGCAGCCTTTAGCAGGTGGGTGTATATGTTCTGACAAAAGTGGTTCCCCTGGAGGTGACTACAAGTACCTGGAGCCTAATGGTCATTATTAGCCAGCTATCGTTGGGGCCTTTCTGTAAGGTGTTGGCTTTGAAGCTGTCTCATTAAAAGTGTACAGTAGGTGGCTGCTAAGTGGGGAGCAGTATCTATTGCATTAAACTCTGATTTTTCTGCTCAGCCCTTCTGGAATGTAACGGTTCTGGTCCCATATGCTTGGCAGTCAGCTGCCCCAGAAAGCTCAGTCCTTGTGATCACATCCTAACAAACAGGTTCTCTTTGATGTGGGTGCACACGGCAACAGGTCTCCCCAGCTCAGGTACCAAGACACAGCACCTCTCTGTGGCTCAGTCTCTCGCTCTGGTCCTCACAGGCTTTGCTCTCTATGTAGGTTTGCACAGCACAGGTCCACTCAAACTGGTTTTTCCATACCGTCTGCCCTGATCTCTGCAAGATTGCCTGGGAAAAGTTCTGCTCTCCCCTCTATGCTTATAAACAAACCCCAGGCTAATGTAGCAGCCAATAGTTTGTTGTCACATTTTTCAGCCAACTATGGTCTTTCTAATGGAAATGATCACCTTCAGGAACACTACAAGGTGCCACCCCCTGCTTGACCCCCCAAATGGGCTCACCCGTCCTTCCTGGTTCCCCAAGACAGTCATGGCAGGTGTTAGCAGAGGGCTATCCACAAATTTCCGTTTGCTGATTGCCCCTCTGTAGAATAAAGCTGGAAGGGACAAGCTTCTAAACACTTCCCATCAGGCATATGCAGAATTTAAAAAATTGTTTTATTTAGTTTTGGATCGATTCATTAAGTTACTAATTTTGTTTTGTTGCATTTGTAACAAAATTTGTTTTGTTTATTCGTTTTCGATGGTATTCAAGATTTTCTAATGGATTTGAAGTGTTTGAAATGAATTTGAATCGACAATATTGAATTGATCTAAATTCATTGTGAAGAATAGCTGGTTAAATTCTATCGGAAATTTAAATTTTGGAAGAAGGTTATATTCTTTCTATTCTATTCAAATTTATTCTATTTTTTCTATTCTCTTTATTCTTTTTTATTCTTTCTTATTTTATTATATTCTTTTCTATTCTATTCCTTTATGTTCTATTTAGTCTATTTTTTTTTCTATTCTATTTCTCTTCTTTTCTCCTTCTCTTCTCTTGCTCTTTAAATTTCAGAAGACAGCAATATTATAACACTAATACACATAGTCCTAGAAGGAAGTCAGCAATATGTTTATATTTCGAAGGATTCACTGCAAACCCATGGTAGTGGCACATCCAATTCTGATCCCTAACTATCAGGCTGCAAATGTGGGTTCTGTTTAATTACCTTAGTAAGCTGTGACATTGAGGCATGAGCTGTGCAGGGTACACTGTCTTATAGCTGAAACTGGCTCCTTTACAAAGCAGCCCCTTTCACTTCATAACAGCGATATGTTTAATTATTTAGCACAGCTGACCAGCAAACACAAGCTGCCTACCACGGTCTCAGGTGAAATAAGAGCGCAATAAATGCATAATAGAGATTTGTTAGCACAATAAAAAATGTCATTGGTTAAGTGATTAATATTAATTTA